GTGTACAACGTTTCGACATTGAACCTGATGATGACAAAACCTTGTCGAAACGTTGTACACTTGTTGTTATGTTAAAAGTTATATTAAAGTTTTTCTTCATTACCCATTCAAGCCGCCTCCAACCATTATTAGTCTCAAATTGGGTTCCTCGTCATCGAATATGGGAATATCAGTAGTTATCCTTTTACAAAAGGTGCCGCCTCACGCCGATTGGCTGCCTCAAGAAGGGAGAGCCAATGATGTCGTTATTGACTTCATAGTTCCAAACTTCGCTGCCAGAGGGCGCGTCGCCATGATGGTATAGTTCCACAAAGTGTCACCAGATGTCGCGTTGCTAGGTCGCCATGACAGATGGCCATGACGTCATAGATTTGAAATTATAGTTCGATACCAGACACAACTATGGGAATATCTTGCTTAAATACACTAGTAATACAAAAAGCCAGATATCCCACACGTCCCCGGGTTAAATACTTTAACCAATGCTCTATATGCAATCTTAAGCCAAGCTAGTTGTACATGTCTCTGTAATGCCTTTTAAATAGGCTATCTTCCAAGAAATCCATGCAGAAACATATGCACACAAAAAAGACAGAAAGCTCAATTACGCACAAGTATTATGATGAATTAAAATGAAAACATTTGTATACTAATATCTATACACAAACCGTATCGCGAGAGAACACCATTTTCAGCAGGTTCATAAGCTCAATTTAAAGGCGAAACGAAATCATAAGGAAATACAACTTTGTGTTTGAGTGATTGAAAAAAAAAAAACGTTTAATCATTTGGCTAAGTCTTATTTGTCGTATATGTTTTTCCGTTACAAAGCTTTTGTTATTGCTAGATGAAAAATTCTGGAATACACATTCAATTGCTTGGCTTTATTTTAGTTTTGCTTAAAGCATATAACTTCTAAAAACCAACCTTTACGTTTTGTGGTGACATTTTAGGTACATCTGGATCGAACCTGTCCAAACCAGTTTACTCGCGTACAAGCTCTAGATGACATTTTTATGCTGATTATCAGAGTCAAAACACGAACGTATTGATTTGTCTGAGTACCATGAATTGTCAAGCACCTGTGAGTCGACTGATTAACTGAATTGATAAATTTCATCATTAGATTTGGGCTTAAAAATCTCTAGTTTATTAGAGTGCATAAAAAATAGTGACTTTTTTTTTTATCATGAACACGATGTAAACAAACCAGACGGGGTGAGTTTTATTTTTCTTCATGTTCGTCTCTTCACAAAATTTTAAATGATGACGTTTAAAAAGCTTTTCGCGTGAAATCGTGAAGTTTGCTCCAAACTTTTTTAAATTTTGATTTCGAGTCTGAGTCGTAACTTCGTGGCAATAGAGCAAACTTTGAAACCCACATAAAATTCTTTTTTTTTTGTAATTTTGATTATAAGAACGTTCAGAAATCCAGACTCCTGCAAGTCTGAAGATATTATTTATGGTAGATAAAGGTTAGATGGCTGTTATTAAGCAGAAAGTTATACAGTGTACTGTGTGTGCTGTACCTATCAAGGGTATCGAAACCCGTTTTTTTTGCGTTATAAACCTTTAAACTAAACGGATAGGTAAAAGTAAATTTACTGTGTTTTTTTTGGAGAAAAAAGATAGCACTTCTATATTTTGGAACTCCATAATCAAGGTGCTTAAGTATCATACAAAATAAAAGGTACCAACTACTGGATTAAATGTCCCCCTGTTGGACAGCGGTGAGTCTACGGACTTACAACGCTAAAAATCCTGAGTTCGATTCCCCGCGGTGGACACAGCGGATAATCCAATGTGGATTTGGCTTTACTGTAAAATAAATAAATGAAAACAAACTACTGTTTTAATAATGTGTTAATAATTAAACAATAAGTACCTTACTAAGGTGTTATAGATGTGCTATTTTACAGCATAGAGGATTGCCATATGTTGTGTCTCTCCATCCCGGTGGCTAAACAGTAAATCTGTGGACTTATAACACTAAAAGTAAGGTTTCGATACTCACGGTGGGCAGAGAACAGATAGTTCATTGTGCAGCTTTGTGTTTAACAACAAACAAAAATATGCTTTATGATGTAATAAGATGATGTATATGTGTAAGATGATGTATATGTGTAAGATGATGAGAGCATCGCGGTACATAATAGTATCTGTGTTTCTTGAGAAGCAATTTAACACTTAACCGCCTCCTAGTGGCACAGCGGTATGTCTGTGGACTTACAACTCTAAAAACCGGGTTTCGATACTCGTGATGGGCAGAGCACAGATAGCCCATTGTGTGGCTTTGTGCTTAACTTCAAACAACAACACTTAACCAGATTAACCTCAACTTTTCCTGTTGGGTTCCTTGAAAAGAACATTAACTCCCACGAGAAACAATGCTTCACTCAGATAACCCAAAATAAAGAATGAGGCCCGGCATGGCCAGGTGGTTAAGGAGCTCGACTCGCAGTCTGCGGGTCGCGGGTT